AGGCCCTTTCCTGGCATAGCCTGCCCTCTCCATCTTGGCCGTGAATGAGCTGGTGAATGTTACAGCCAGGCCTGCCTCACACTCTGTTTTAGGATGAACATGCAGGAGCTGCAGCCTGGACCTGCTCAGGCTATTCTCAGTCACTGTATCCCTGAATGTTGGCAGGTTCCATGGTCACACCTAGCTCAGCCCATCACCACCCCACTCTTAACCTAACCAGCAGGACTTGAATTTCCACAGGGTTGGGCCCACATATCCCCCACAGAATCTACTCCCAGACCTGGTTAGTCATGACCCTGCCTAATGTGACCCATTCCCTGTTTTAGCATTCACCCTGCTAGACAGGCCCCCATCCCTAGCTTTCGTGTGAGGTGGCCTGTGGTGGTCAACAATGTACCATGCTAACAAGCCCTACTTAGGAGTCCCATGTGGACTGTATCAGTCTGAACCATGTGGACCTTCTGGTTTCTCCCGTTTAAACCACAATGTCCCAGTCCCTTCGCTTACCTGTAGGTACAGTTGCCTTGTCATTGGGAGTCCCTTGGGATTCATTCTTCACCTATACATATAGTAGCCTTATTCATGGATGTCCCTAGGCAGTATGCCACACCTCTAAGACCCCAGACCTTGTCACTGGGCAACCAGTGGGTGAAGCCTAGCACCAGTTGGTGCTGTGGCTGCCAGCAAGCCCAGGCTTTGCCTACTGTTTGGCAGTGGTGGCTCTGACTAGGGCCCCATGCATTGAGTCCACACTGGCTCACGTTCCCCCCAGCAGCCGCCATGCTGCCGGGAGGTCTGTCCACCCAAGCCCTGAAGTGAAATTTACCTGGGCCCATGCCACTGAGATGGTGGTAGTTGGTGGAGCCAGGGACCTGAGTTGTCAAAAAAATTACACTGTGAAGAGAGAAAACCTGAGCCCAGGCAAGCCCAGGATGCTTGGCAGTGGTGGCTGGGGCCAGGGTCCCAAGCGTTGAATCTGCCCTGACTCAGCCCTCACTCCACACCCCTAGTAGCTGCCAGGAGGTCCATCCACCCAAGCAAGCCCTGAGCTATTTTTTTAATTTTAAAGAAGTATTTAAAAACAATTTCAATAGGCATATGAAAATTATACCTATTTGTGGGCTACTATGTGATTTTCATTACATATATACATTGTACAATGGCCAGAGTAACTATGTGTCATATTTAACATTTATTTGCAGCTGGAAATATAAAAAACACCCTATCTTCTATTTTTTAAACAGAGAAATACAACACATTAAATTTACCTGTAGTAACCCTGTTGTGCAGTGGGAATCTAGAACGACTTACTCCTATGCATCTATAACCTGATACCTGTTAATCAACATTTTCCCATCAATTTCTTTCCTCTTTGGTTACCATCGTTATATTTTAAAATTTTTTGAGACAGTGTGTCTTTTAGATTCCATATATGAGATCATATAATATATGTGTTTCTGTGCTTACCTTGTTTCACTTAACACAAAGACCCCCAGTCCTACCAATTTTGTTGCAATTGGCAATATTTCATTCTTTTTATGGATGAATGCTATTCCATTCTGCATCTGTTCAACATTTTCCTCATATTCATTGGCATATAAATACTTGGGTTATTTCTATTTCTTGTCAACAGCTATTGCACATGCCTCTTTGACACGAATTTCATTTCCCTTGGATATATACCCAGGAGTGGAATTTCTGCATCATACACTTTTATATACTGCCTTCAGTAGGTTGTGCTATGTTCCTTCTGTATCTAATGTGCTTTGAGTTTTTACCAGAAGGATATTGGATGTTATGAAATGCTTTTATCTGCACCTATTTAGATGATCATGTTATTTTTGTCCTCCGTCATGTTGGTGTGATGTATCACATTTATTGATTAGTGTATATTGTACCACTTTTGCATCCCTGGGGCAAATCCTAATTGATCATGGTTAATGATCTTTTTAATGTGCTGTTGGATTCAATTTTGTATTCCTTTGTTGAGGATTTTTGCATCTATATTTACCAGGGATATTGGTTTGTAACTTTGTCTTTTCATCATGTGCTTGTCTGGTTTTGGTATTAAGACAATGCTAAGCTCACATGGTAAGTTCTAAAACAATCTCTCCTTTTCTATTTTTGGAAGTAGTTTAAGATGTATTGGTATCAATTCTTTTAATATTTTGTAGAGTTCAACAGTGATTTTGTTTAGCCTTATACTTTGTTGGAAAAATGTTTTATTATTATTACTGATTAAGTTTTACTACTTGTTACTGGTCTGTTATTTTATTTCCTCATCATTCATTCTTGAAATGATGTTTGTATAAAGACCTTCCCATATTTTCTGCATGACAAAATTAATTGCATATGATCGTTCATAGTCATCTGTGCTGTCAATTGTGATGTCTCCATTTTCTTTTCTGATGCTTTGTATTCTTAAATTTTCTCTATTTCTTGGTTACTCTACTCAAGGGTTTTACTCTACTTTTGAAGAAGCAGCCCTTTGCTTCATTGATTTGTTTTGAAAATGTATTTTTCTTTTTTATTATGATTATTGTTTTTTTTATTGGAAAGGCAGATATACAGAGAGGAGAGACAGAGAAGAAGATCTTCAGTCCGATGATTCGCTCCCCAAGTGAGCACAACGGCCGATACTATGCCGATCTGAAGCCAGGAGCCTCTTCCGGGTCTCCCACGCGGGTACAGGGTCCCAAAGCTTTGGGCCGTCCTCGACTGTTTTCCCAGGCCACAGGCAGGGAGCTGGAAGGGAAGCGGGGCTGCTGGGATAGAACCGGCGCCCATATGGGATCCCGGGCGTGCAAGGCGAGGACCTTAACCACTGCGCCACCGCACCGGGCCTGAAAATGTATTTTTCAAGTCTGTGTGTCAATTTCTTGTGCTTCGAGTTTTTAAAATGTTGAAGTATGACTCTGTTATTGCTCTATTGCTTTTCTCTCTAAATACTCCATGCATTTCTGATAGTGAAGTGTTAGAGTCTCTGTTACAATAGAACTGAAATCAGTCTCTCCCTATAGTTATGTTAAGGTTCGCTTTACATATTTGGGTGCTTCAATATTGGGTGCATGTACATATGTATGTTATTTCCTCTAACTGGGTTGAATCCTTTATCATTTTATAATGACTTTCCTGGCTTCATTGTAAGGCTTTTGAGTTAGAAGCTTTTTTATTTGATAGAACAATGGTTTCTCCTGCTTTTTTAGGGGGTTCCATTTGTATGGAATATCTTGTTCCATCCTTTCACTTTCAGTCTATACATATCCTTAGAGGTGAAGTGAGTTTCATATTAGCAGCATGTATCTGGACCTTATTTTATAAATCCTTTTGGTCACTGTCTTTTAACAAGAGGATTTAATCCATTGACATCTAAAGTAATCATTGATATGTAAGGTATTGCTAGTTTTGATATGTATTTTGTATATTTACTATAATTTCTTTTTTACCTCTTTAAAAATCTTCATTTGTGGTTAATTGATTTTTTTAGCGGTGTGCTATTATAATTCTTTATTTATTATTTTTGTAGCATTAATTATGATGACCTAGAGATGAATAAGAAATAGACACAAGAAACCTTGATGAAGATCTCTTTATTTGTGCTCCATTGAATTCCACATTTCTGATTTTTGAAGCTACATTTTCTATATTTATATGTTGCTCATGTCTTAATATTTGATTATAACTTCTTAGTGTCCACATTAAGGTTACAAACTATATACATACTATATTTACAGTATCAGGGCATTGTGAATTTATTCGGAAGGTTATAATTAGTAGTGAGTATTTTGCCTCCTGAATTTCTTTTAAAAATTTATTTATTTTTATTGGAAAGCAAGATTTACAGAGGAGAAATGGAGAGAAAGATCTTCCGTCTCCAAATGGCTGCAATGGCCAGGGCTGAGATGATTTTAAGTCCGGAGCCATGAGCTCTCAAATGCTTTTTTGATTCTTTCTGTTAGTTTTTTCTTTTTTTCCTTCTCTGCATGTTCAAATTGTTTGCCTTCAAGGTCACTAAGTTTTCCTTCTGTTTGATTGGTTATACTGTTAACTCATTGTACACACGTTTCATTCCACCTAGTGTATTTTTCAGTTGAAGGATTTATACTTGATTTTTTGGTAATAATTCCAGTCTCCATCAGATCTGTTAGAATACTGACAAATCTCTGTGTGCTTTTGAATTTTGTCAAATTTTCCTAAAACATTTTATCCAAGCATTTGTAAATTTCAATTCCTAGGTGGTTAATTTTTGGAATCTTATTTCGCTCTTTAGAGCAAGTTATGGTTCCCTGAAACTTCTTGATACTTGGTGGTGAACTACGTCATCTGCACATTGAAGGATTTGTTCCAGGCATGTGACTATGTTTGTGGTTCTGCACCTATAAATTTCTCACAGTCTGATCCTATGGATTCTTGCGCTACTTTAGCACTAGATAGCACCCCAAAGCAAAGTTTGCTGCATGTCCAATTGGATATGTTTTTCTGATTCAATCTTTTTTTTTTTTTTTAATAATAAAAGGAATTTTTGGGGCCCGGCGTGGTGGCGCAGTGGTTAAAGGTCCTCGCCTTGCACGCCCGGGATCCCATATGGGCGCCGGTTCTAATCCCGGCAGCCCTGCTTCCCTTCCAGCTCCCTGCCTGTGGCCTGGGAAGGCAGTCGAGGACGGCCCAAAGCTTTGGGACCCTGCACCCGCGTGGGAGACCCAGAAGAGGCTCCTGGCTTCGGATCGGCATAGTATCGGCCGTTGTGCTCACTTGGGGAATGAATCATCGGACGGAAGATCTTCCTCTCTGTCTCTCCTCTCTGTATATCCGCCTTTCCAATAAAAAAATAAAAAAAATAAATCTTTATAATAAAAGGAATTTTTTTTAATTCAAAGGTATAACCGGATAAGTAGATTTGTTTTCAACCATTGTTGTGAAATGATTTTTTAAAAGATACTACCAACTTCTTTGTAAACAGCAGATACATACTTCAACTGTGATGACCTATTTTTTCGTGGCTAATGTACATGATTAGGCAAAAAATAGGTAAGCTCAAATGGATAGAATGTCAAACAGTCAAAATTCTGTGTGTGTCCCCCACTTCTTGATCGGTTTCTGTTCCCACTTTGTCTTCTACCATCTTTTTGATTTCCTGACCGACTTCCTTCTCTGTCCCTTGTCCTGACTGGCCAGATCGACCACCTGCCTGGCCCAATTGGCCTAATCGGCCCCCTGACCAACCACTCCTCTGTCTTGCATTAGAAGATGTACTGAACTGGCAAAAAAAAAAAAAAAGATGTATTTCTGTCATAATAGTCTTCAATTTCAGGTAATTTGGCTGGTATTGAGTGTGTCCAGTCTGAATTATGCCACTCTGCCTGTAATCTTTCTGAGTCAGTTGTAGGAACATCAAAGCAAACACCCGTGTTTCCTTTTAGAAGGCACATTCTGGCAACGTGGGCCACGGCATTACTACTCAGCTTTCTATTAAGTTCCTTCCAAGCACAGTTGACACCTTGATTTTCTTTAGGGCTTTCCAGAGTCATGGTCACAAACCCCTTACCAGAAGTGATCAAAGATCTTGGTTCAAAGTTTGATGCACCAGAAATATGGGCTAATGTTGCAGCCAGTGCAGCCACTGCCCCTTTCTCTTCTATCAGTCTCTGAGCTGATGGTTGGAAAAAATCAACAACAGTAAAAGAAACAGAAGCCAGAGGCTTGGTGGCATCCATGCTTTTAAACTTAACTAAATCCTTTGTAGAAGGAACACCTACATGGTTAAAAATAATTCCTGCTTTTTGTTCCATGTATCATAGTTGACTTTTTTCTCTAGGTTGATAAAAAACATATACAAATTCCTGTCCGGCCAGCTCTTCCAGTGCATTCAGAGTGATGGATACAGGATTCAACATTCTATGGAGAAGAACTCTGAATTACCAGGTCAACCTCAGGAATGTCCAGACCACGGACAGCAACATTGGTTGCTAACAGTACTTTAAAATTACTTTCTCTGAGGCCTTTTGAGTGATTTCTCTCTGTGGCTGTGCAATGTCCCCATGTAAACACTGGGCATTCTGTTTCATGTGCGGATTCCGGGCCATTTCAGTTACATTCTTTTTGGTCTCACAAAAAATAATAGCTCTCCCTTCAGACCCACTGTACACTTGAAGGACATCTCCAATAACTGCTGGCCTCTGAGACGAATGGCATTGGATGGCCAAATGTTCTACAGTAGTTGCAGCCTTTTGAGTCATTTTTCCAACAAGGTCAACCTGTTCATATCTGGATTTCATGTATTTTTTTTGCAACTTTGTATACCCACTGTGGGCAAGTTGTGGGAAAAAGTAAAGTCTGAGGATTGTCTTCAGAATCGGCTTTGTAGGATTCACGGATAATATCTTCAACTTGTTCAGCAAAACCTAAATCTAACAACATTTGATCCACTTCATCAAGTACAACACGGTGTAGCTTAGAGAGATCCAGTGGGCCACTGTGCAGATGGTCTTTGATTCGACCAAGTTTCCCGACCAATGTGTCAATACCATTTCAAATATGATTAATCTGGCTTTGATATGATGTTCCACCATAAAAACAGGCAATACTGAGTTTTCTAGTTATATCTTTGCAGTCTTTGGTTACTTGGTTGTCCGGTTCCCTTGTTGGAACCAAAACAAGTACCTTTGGTGAGTGACTTTTTAAAATTTTTCTTGATTTCTTTGGAGCCTTTCAATCAAGGGGAATGTCTCCCCTGTTCCTGTCTGTGCTTGAGCAATCAGATCCTTTCCTTCATACACAGGGCCAAAGGTCTTAACTAAAAAGAAAATAAGTATGCCACTCTATGACCTTTCAGAAGCTTTATAATCTCTTCCGAGATTGAGAAATTAGAGAAGCTCCTTCTTTCTGTTCATCCGTTAGGGTCTTGTCGCAAGAAGTCAGAAGTCAATTCATAAGTACTGATAGGAACTCCTCTTGTTTATTATCACTTGATTTGTGAGAATTGTCCAAGGAAGATATACGTTTTGATTTGTTTTCATATTCAATACTTCCATTTGGCAGAGATGTTTTCTTCTTGACCTCAGAGATGTAGAGTATTCATCTGAAAGTCTGTTAAATCTTTCTTCAGTGTCTCCATTTAGCTGTTCTCTCATTTTAGCTTTTTTGGACTTGGGACCATCTAAGTCACCTGCAACACCATTTTCCCTTGTTTCTGATTTGTCATCTGAGTCATAATGGTGCATTGACTTCCTTCTGTTCCTCAAAGGTCCACATGAGGGACTTCCTTTCGCCTCTCCTTCCTCTGGCTCTCGGGCTCCTCCAAAGGTTCTTCCATCTCCATAATATCCCCCCAAGGAGCATCCCAGGCATTACCGGCTGCTGTGCCTCCACCAGCCTCCAGGGCAGCCATGGCATGAAAGGAACCTGATTCAATCTTGAAATATTTCCCAGAGTCAAATTTGTTCTAAAGCCGAAATTGATTGCTGTTCAGAATGAAATAGGAAAGTTCCGAAAAAAGGGGGCAGTGTTCTTGTGAGAAATAGGAACCTGTTCTTGTGCCTGTGGCAGGTTCAGACTCTTCGTCCTGTGTCTGCAAATGCTATGGTGCCTGATCACATCTACAGCTCAAATTCTACCCAGGCCACTGCAGCCTGGGGATAGGACCAAAGTTCCTTCTGCTGTGATCTTTCTGCTGCTGAGATGGGCTGACTGTCTGATGCCGTAGTTGATGTTGACTGAGGTATGAGGCGACTCAACCGGCATCATAGTATGCTTCTTGGCACTGAAATGTTTAGAGACTCTGTAGGCACTGTCCTGGGATTAGGATTTATTCAATTAGCCTGGCGCTGAGTCCCAAAGCAATACTGTGATCCTGTGTTGTCTGCCAAATATTGTAGCTCATAGGCAAGCACTAGCTGGGTCACATCAGAGTCTTACAATCACCTGGCTCTGTACAGTCATGGATGGTGGCTGTGTATAGCAGGTGTACAAGAGGCTATTGGTGATACACAAAGAACAAGTATGTCTCATCAACGTTCAGGTGTCCACCTAATATTAGGGCAAGTCTGGAGACACTGTCCACAGGCACTTGCCTAGAGAGGGAAGCTTCGGAATCATCCAGTGTTGGGCTACCCCAGCCCATTAGGTTCTAAGATATGGACACACAGTCCCTTTCTGTCTTCCCAAGGGTAGAAAAGATTATCAACACAGCCCTCTGGATCACCCAGACTGGTCCCAGGCTGTTCGCACCTGAGGCCCACTGTCATCAGTCCCCACCAAGTCCCAGAGGCATCTGACAAATCCATCCAAGGACAGTATTGATAGCAAAACAAATTCAATCCACCAGAGCGTCAATCTTAGCCTGACACCAAATAAGACCTCAGGCTTGGTCTACAAGCACCAGCCAGTGGGGAAAAGGCTTTTGGATTTAAGGAGCTGTTGAGTCTTGGCCTGCTGACCTGATTCTGAACCCCAAGACTGATATCATCCTGACCTCCTTCTCCTGGTCTTTCTGTGTGGCTGGGGGCAGGGTTCAGGTGGCAGAGTGGGGCTCAGTCTGATTGAATCCTGGAGCTAGAATTGGAATTTAGGATTTAGTTTATTCTCCCACGGGGGAGGCATTTCTTTTCTAGCCATGCTTCCTGGGAGCTGTGGAGAAGTGACAGCAGCAGCATTTTATTTTTTGTGCCTATGTTCTTTCTTCAAAGTGACTTTTCTTTTGATTATAATGAAACAAGGCACTGTGGTCCTTGCGCAGCTGTTGCAAAGATGACTTGGTGTGTTCATGTTGACGTCTGTGTGAGGAAGTAATAATCAAAGCTTTTTGCCCATGTACCAGTCACTTTTGCTCCCAGTTCTGTTAGTGTGTAAGCTGAGCAGCAGCCCCTTACCATAGATATTTAAAGAAAATTCAGTGCAGTCAGAAACAGATGTTGAATTTGTATGATACCATTTTTTTTTTCAGACAAAGAATTCTGCATACATATGTCATAAGATTTGGTGACCTACTTTGATGACTTACTGAAATACCCATGAACCACCAGGCTTCCTACTCTTGTTCATCTTGCCACAATTCCTGAATGCCCACCTTGTTGTTTCTTTTCAATTGATCTTGTCCCTAGAAAGCCTCTATTATTAACATTCAAAACCGATGACTGAAAAGTCCACAATTATTGAGAAGGTTTGGCTTTGTGGCTTGCCATATTTAGAAAAGGGTTCTGAGTAGCAAACTTGGTCGAGGTAGATGGGAATCGTGCCTAGTGGAGTGCTGGGAGAGTCCTAGGATTGGAAGGAAAAGCCCAGAGGGAGAGGCACCGAGCACTCCTCTCCTATACACATAGGTTCCAGGAGAAACGTAACCTAGCACTGGAGTGAAGTTACCATTCCAGCAAGCAATCTCCCACAAAGGGTGCCTATTATAATTAATGCATCTGAAGCCATCACTGGTTTACTCACAAATGGCTGTAAAAAGCTAGGAGCCTGGAATTTCATCTGGACCCCTTACATAGGTATCAGGGGCCCAAGTACTTATGCTGCGTCGTGTAGTTTTCCTAGGTTGATCAGCAGGGAGCTGGATTGGAAGTGATCCTGGAGCTCATGTGGGATGCTGAGCTCTCAGGCTCATTTGAACTTGCTGTGCCACAAGCCTGGGCCCTCAGTGTACTTTTACAATAGGATTGCTAACAACACTAAACTCACCTTGGAGTCACTGCAGGCATGTGAAGGAGGTGTTATGATTACTGTGGGGTGGATGAAAAAGACAAGGCTTGCCTAGGATGAAGAACATTCCCAAGGTCATGCCACAAAGCTTAGGTAGCATTTGTTGTGTGTCTGCTTTCAGAACCTGCTTTATCACACTGTCACCCCTGGGGAAAACAGAGCACATGATTTGCTTTTAAATCACAGAGAGAATTTACGTACTGAATGGTAAACCCAAATGGCAGCTAGCACTTACATGATGTTCACTCTGCTGGTTACTGTCCCAAGGGCTTTACACCTGAGAGCTTATTTAATGCTTACAGTGTGCCTTGAAAGTAACTGCTATTACTAACTACATTTTACAGAGGGGATTCAGAATCACAGAGTGGCTGAGTGACCTATCCAAGATTTCACTTGATGGAATGAAAACTGGATCTATGTTCTTATAACAGAAATTATATACAGTTTCTTTCTGCCTTCTTTATCAGTGATTTATCCGTATTGATCTGCCAGGCCAAGAATAAAAATTACATCTTAGGCCTGAGACTAAGAGAGGTCTCAGTTGTCACAAGGAGGAGCAGGACAGCAAGCAGGGAGTGTGACTTGACTATGATCTCATCCTCCGCTACAGAAGCTGCAGGGCAGCAAGCAGTCCGTTCTTGCTGAGAAACAGTGGGATTCACCTCTGGCAAGGAAAGCAAAGGACAGAAACATGAGCTGCCATCCATTGATTTCTTTTTCAACATTAGAGGGTAAAAAAAAAAAAAAAAAAAGATAGGCAGATGATAACTCAGCACTTTGAAGCCTGACAGGTTGGGCTGGTGCTAATCAGATCTCTAGGAGACAGTAGGCAGAGTCACAAGGAGCATGAAGGAAACCTTGAGGTCACTCCATGCTGTGCATCCTGAGTGGCACAGCTACTGCCAACACATTTCAGTTTTCTAAAAGCGAATGAAAGCAAGGGGGAAGAGACTTCCCAGAGTGAAGAGTCTGGGATTGAAGAGTAGGGAGGTGGAAACATTTATTTCTTTTTAAGCATTTAATCAGAGTTAAAAAGAGAGAGGGAGAGAGAGAGGGAGAAAGAGAGAGAGAGAGAGAGAGAGCTTCCATCCTCTGATTTAGCCTCCCCCCCCCCCACCAGAAAAAATGAGGCTGAGGCCGGCTAAAGCCAGGAGTGTCTTCCAGATCTCCCTCATGGGTGGCAGGGGCTCAAGGACTTGGGCCATCCTTTGATGCCTGCCCAAGCACATGGTAGGCAGTTAGATTGGAAGTGGAGCAGCCAGAGCTCCAACTGGCATCCATAGGGTTGCTTGCTCTACAGGTAGTGGTTTAACCCTATATGCCACAGAGTCAGTCCTAACAGAAATGTTCTTGGTTGACTTTAGGTTTCACATAAGTCAACAGTGTCCATATGGTTATAAAAAGAAAGGTGTGTACACTTGTGTTTGTGCCATCATAAACTGAGTATGCAGCATGAAGAATTCCAAAGGTGGGAGGTGGGCCTCATGGCGCACAGCTGGTTGAGTTGCCACTAGGAACACTTGCATTACCTATCAGAGTGTGCAGGATAGAGTCCTCCCTCTGCTTGAAGTCACTCTGCCAACATGCGTCCTGAAAGTCTGGACACAATGGCTCACGTAGGTGTGAGATCTGCACAGTTTCTGTCTTTGGACTAGCCCAGCCCTGGTTATTGCAGGCATTTGGGGGTGATAAACCAGTGGAATGGAGATTTCTGTCTCTTTGAGTTTCTCTTTTCTCTTTGTCTTTGCCTTTCCAAAAAAAAAAATAAGTAAATACTTAAAAAAATATGAGTGTTAGTAGTGATGATTCCATCCTGTTGTTGCATTGGTCAGAGCCCACTGGAGTATGGAGGGTGTCAGTTTTGAGCACCATGTTCAGAGACAGTAGAGCTGGAGTGAGCAGGATGCTGGTCAACTGTTGCCCTACAAATGAGGGATTGGAAAAGAAGCCTCCCAGCGGGTAAGAGGGAAGGCAAAGATCTTGAGTACTGAGAGATGATACTCAGAAAAATGTTCTTCCATTCAGAACAGTAAGTAGAGTTTTGTTAGTAGTTGGATGTTGGTGTACTCTGAACACCATTTGGAAAATCAGACTCCTTTATCCCATTCCTACCTATTGCCTTCTGTAGCCTTTGTTAACAGGTGCATGGTTTTTATTTGTGATATTCACTTCTTGCTGGCATATTCCCAATGCCTAACAAGTACCTGAAAGATTGTATCACCTAGTATATAATATTGGATAAATGAGTGAATGCATGAGTGAGACATCAATAGCAAAAGTATAAAATCTATGGAGACAGGGTGGTGTGACTGTTCATGTCTCATGGCTGGGGTACCAGAAAGCACACTTAGCTGAGCATTTGTCCAGTGGAGGAGGAGTTAGGCCATCATTTCTAGGCCGAGAGCTTTACAGCAGTTCATGGAAAGGAAGAAAAAGGAGAAAAACAGCTGCCTAAAGATTTGATATGAAGTTGGTACTGGCTATTGGCATATGCTGGACGGAATGAGCTCTACTGTGAAAAGCCCTACTGTTAGGGCTT